ACGGACTCGGGGATGCTCAACGTCCAAGTGGGCGTTCCGATCCCGCTCTACAACAAGAATCGTGGGAATATCGCTGCCGCTCGTGCGGAGGTCTGCCGCGCGATCTTCGAAGCGGAGCGGATCGAGAACGACGTGAAGGCGCGCCTCGCGGTTGTCTCTCAGGAGTATGAGACGGCGGCGGCTGCGATCGAGCAGTACGTGTCGGAAATTCTCCCCAGCGCTAGTTCTTCGATGGAGCTTGCGGAGAAGGCGTACCAAGCGGGCGAAGCGGACTTCGTGCAAATCCTGATCGCTCGAAAGACGTTCTACGATTCGAACGTGCAGTACATCAACGCGCAGGCCCAACTCGCGATTGCCCGGGCGAAGATCGAGGGCGTGTTGCTCACCGGCGGACTCGACGCGGTGCGTGACGACAGCGGTGACGACAGCCTACGCGGTCAGGCCTTCAGTCAACAGTGAGGCTGAGCGATCGTGGGCCCGCCCAATCCGCTCGCAATGGCACTCGGAAGCCGTATCGTAAGCCTCTCTCGACGAGGTCGATTCCCTTGATTTGGCGCCGCATTCCCGACGCCCAACCAGATTGAGGGATCTACAGTGGACTCTACGAGAAGCAACGAGTTTCGTTGTATTCGTATCAGAGAGGTTTCACTCGGACATTGCGGAACGCCACGGCGCCGTGATCCATCTGCAAGTAGAGCGGTCCTTTCTCAACTTCAGGCAATGGGTCGGTTGTGTTCCCTGTGGGCGAATCGACCTCCACGTCGCGCTGGACGAGCTCTCCGTTTAGCGTAACCTTTAGAAAGCGTGCGTTCTCGACCTTCTTGCCCTCGGAGTTGAAGCGTGGAGCTTGGAAGACGATCCGCAGCGTCTGCCATTCGCCGGGCTTCTTGGAGGCGTTGCGCAAAGGGGCGACGCCCTCGTCGATGTATTTGATTCCTCGCTTCGCGCTGACCCAGTGCGGATAGACGCCGCCGCATTCGACTCCGCTGAGCGCCTCCTTGCCCCAGCTGTCGTAGAGTTGGATCTCATACCGCCCTTGAAGCTTGACCCCCGAGTTGCACCCTTCGCCGAGAACGAACTCCAGCACGACCTCGCAGTCTGCGAAGTGCTCGACGGAGTTAAGGTTGTTGTCATCCCCGTAGGCGAATTTCCTACTAGCGGCGACAACCCCCACGCCAGGAAGGGTTTTCAGGTGACTCGCGTCGTCATCGATCTTAACGCCTTGGCATTCGACCAGATTCCCGCCCAACCCTGTGACACCCGAGGCGCCCTCCTTCCCGATGATTGTGACCCATTTACTGGCGGCGGCCTTTTCGGAGGTCGTTGCCGCCGCCACCTTCTGAACCTCGCGGGCATCGGCGTCGGTAGAACGCGGGTCTGCGGCAGTCGCTGTCGAGACCACCAATGCGAGGCATATCGCCATTAAGGGTGTCGGTAAGGCATTCATCATTCGTTTGCTTCGTTGTGTGGCGGAGACGCCCGGCGTGTAGTGTGTATGAAACCCTTATCCTACCCGAATCGGACTACTGTTGTTACCGCTTGGGGCTGCGCGCGGAAAGTGCGGCCGCGACGGCCGCGAGCCCTACGGACGACGGTTCCGGGATCGATTGCAAGGATAGACTCAGGCCAACTTTCGCGAGCGCCGCTCGCATGATCGCCACGTCGCGCAGGTCGGTGACCCCGTCGAGGTTTTGGTCCCCGAGCGACCACGCCAGGTCGGTGTTGCCGCTGGTGGACGACCGCCACCCCTGCCGGAAGAGTTGGGCGTCGGCCTGATCGATCGCGCCGTCGAAGTTCAGGTCGCCGTAAATGCGACGGAAGTCGAAGCCCCTGATCTCGTTCTCTCCCGCGATGATCTCGTACTCGGTCCCATTGACGACCAGCGTGAAAGGCGAGTCCGAGGTGACGACCACGTTCCCCTCGCCGTCGCTGACGAGGTCCGCGGTGACGTCGCCGATGTGAAGCCCTTCGATGCCCAGCCGGCCCGGCCGCTCGAGTCGCCACGTGACCGTGTTGCTCGTCGCGTCCACGTCGAAGCCCAGGACGTTCTCGACGAACAGCGAGATCGG